GTAGTTACATGTTTAATTTCAAGAACCCTACATTTATTCGATTCACAATGAAACCCTGAAACTAAAAACTTTATCTAATTACTTGAATGAATGTTTATCGTTTATAAAATATTCAAATTCAAATATTTTTAATCAAATTAGACCGCGTCAATGGGTCTAAATTACGATTCGGGGCACAAATCAGAAAATTTAAGAAGAATGAATCATTTTGAAAAATATAAATAGAAATTTTGTTTGCAGAAAATGCTAGATTTTTCGAGTATTATGTGCGTATTTAGGTGATAAAGATTGGAGATAATCTAATATGATAAGGGACGCTCTGTACATGGTGTTTCTCTTTAGAAATTACTTGTTGTGTATTTTGGCCAACAGAAACAATGGATAGATAGCCAATGCTTGTGTCCGTGTGTGGCAATTAGAGCATGAGTAATAGCTTGTTTGAAAGCTACGCTTTTGCCCCTGTGGGGCATTTAGAGCCTGAGTAAAAGCTTGTTTGATAGCTACGCTTGTGTCCTTGTGGGGCATTTAGAGCCTGAGTAATAGCTTGTTTGATAGCTATGCTTGTGTCCCTGTGTGGCATTTATAGTCTGAGTAATAGCTTGATTGAAAGCTAGCTTGTGTCCCTGTGTGGCATTTATAGTCTGAGTAATAGCTTGTTTGATAGCTACGCTTGTGTCCCTGGGTGGCATTTAGAGCCTGAGTAATAGCTTGTTTGATAGCTATGCTTGTGTCCCTGTGTGGCATTTAGAGCCTGAATAATAGCTTGTTTGATAGCTATGCTTGTGTCCTTGTGTGGTATTTAGAGCCTGAATAATAGCTTGTTTGATAGCTATGCTTGTGGACCTGTGTGGCATTAAGAGCCTGAGTAATAGCTTGATTGAAAGCTAGCTTGTGTCCCTGTGTGGCATTTATAGTCTGAGTAATAGCTTGTTTGATAGCTACGCTTGTGTCCCTGTAGCCCTGTAGCCTGTAGCCCTGTAGCCCTGTAGCCTTGTAGCCCTGTAGCCTGTAGCCCTGTAGCCCTGTAGCCTGTAGCCCTGTAGCCTATAGCCCTGTAGCCTATAGCCCTGTATCCTGTAGTCATGTAGCCTTGTAGCCCTGTAACCTTGAAGCCCTGTATCCCTGTAGTCCTGTAGCGCTGTAGCCCTGTAGCACTGTAGCGCTTTAGCCCTGTAACCCTGTAGCCCTGTAGCCATGTAACCCTGTAGCCCTGTATTCCTATGGAAAAAATAATCAAAACAGCCAAGAACTATTTTCCACCTAATTGCTTTATACTTGTACTGCTAATATAATCATCAATTTGTATTTGTAAACTCGTTCTGTACACAGATACAGTATTTCAGCCATAAACTTTATCTTATCTTATCTTATCTTATCCCTATATCCCTGTATCCCTGTATCCATATATGAGCACACTAGGGAAATATTTTGATCCAGTTGCGTGAACAATTCAAATCTGTCAAAAACACGCACACATACACCACACATACACACACACACACCACACAGCACTCACTCATATACTCATATATCTCATGTTCATTCTTTACTTATATCACTGATATTTTGCCATGAGAGAACATTGTTATCAGTGTATTTTTTGTGTTTGTAATGTCCGACCATAACTCAGAAACCTCTGATTTGCTTCAAATTTCGATTGGCGAACTCGTTAGAACCACGGGTTTAAAAATTCTGTGTTGAGTGAATTAACTTGATAGTAGAAGTTTAGTTTCCATGCAAAGCTGGGTTTCAAAGCTAGTAAATCCAAGAGAAAATCAAATGTATGGCGGGAATTTTGTCAGACCTCTTTTAAAGACTGTAAAGAATTAAAAAAAAAATCTTATTTTTTGAAAATTATATCTCAAGCACACGAAGATCTATGGGGTTAGCCACAAAGACGACTGTAAGAGTTTTCTTTTTTTCTTGCATTGATGGTTAACAGTTACATCAAACTTTTTTATTTCTGTTTCAACTTATTCAAAAACCTGTAAAAGATCAAAACCCCAAGATCAGATAGTATTTAAGATTTAAGGTCGTCCTTACATGCAGTCCCATCCTTTGTGGGTAACCCTGTATTTAAACCAACGAGGCTATAGTAGAGTGATGATGTACGCTAATCCTTTACTATAAATTACTATTACAGGCCATGTACTTCACTTCCAAAGGTCAATCTGTATAATACAGTTCTTGGGGTGATTTCTGAAAATATTCAAATGGAGAATTTATTTTCAATGTAAGTATTAAAATCCACTTCTCCTTTATCGTGTGCAGGATTCCATTTTCACTGGAAGATGTAAGTCTTTTACAGAGCAATATTTAATCGTTAATAAACTGTTCTGAAAAAACTGAGTAAAATTCTAGATAAAAAACCTCCCCACACTCTTGTACTCCGAAACCGTACTGCATATTTGATAATCTCTTAATATCCTTTAACAGTAAACTATACTAAGTGTACACTCAGGCCAATACACACGGAGAGGTAGCTAAGATCCAGCCCCCCTGATTTAAACATCCATGTACACATTTACTGAGGGACCCATAAAACTATGGAATATGAAGACGACTGTTGTTAGACTCAAGTTATGATTTCAAAAGGCCCAATTTAAACATGAAGACAGCAAATGTGCAGTGTACTCAGTCCCATTTCACTTTGTAAGTTTGTAGTTAAGCCGGACTGTTGTTCATCATCACTCTATATACTATAACCTCGTTCAAACTAGTTGTTTATAAGATTGCTTAAATGTCGTCTTTTTTCAAGTTAAATTTTTTGATTAAAGACTGATTGTACGGGAGACCGACTGAAAACAGTTTCGGCTAGTTCCGTCTCCCTGCCATAAACTGTAATTTCAACTAATGTTAATTATAAATATCCATTTTTACATGTATAGTTTCAAGTTTGTGGCTAAATATATAATTTGATTTGATTTGATTTGATATTGCAATAGGTGGGACTTTTGGTCACGTAATACGGACGTATCAATTTTATTATCAATTATATCTTTTGAAAATGAAAAAAATTTGAATAAAAAATTTCGCAAATTCTCTTCATCAAACATTTATGAAAGTACGGGAAGAACAATTATTAATATGGTATTATAAAACTTCAAATGTTGAGCTCTCAGAGCAAATAATTTTATGATGCTCAATTAATTGCTACCAGCTTCAACGCCTATATGGTTTATACGGAAATATTTTCGCGTAATTTTTTTTCGCGAAATTTCGCTTTGTTTTCGCTTTTTTCGCTTAATTCATTTTAGCGAAAAAATTCTAAAATTCGCGAAAAAGTTTGCGAAATACGAACGAAAATATTCGCACTTTTTGCGCAACGTTTCGTTCGCTGGAAACCTTAGATAGAACTCTTATAGGTCTCGAACAACTCCTGAAGTTATTAGGTTTCAGCTTATATACCCTCTTTTATTTTGCCTTCACAGTCCCTTTAAATACAGCGGCAGTTAAAATTACAACTTTATACCTTTCAAAGTAAAAGTGAAAAGTGAATGGATGATTGATTTACCAATACCAAAAAATATCTTTAAAATAGCATATAGTTTGTTTAGCTTCGTGGATTGTTAGTTCTTAAGAGGTTGCGTGATTAAATAAACTAACTTCTAAATTCAACTTCTAAAAATGGCGATAAAATATAACAGTACGAGCGGATTTTGACGCCGTAATCTCCCAGTTCTTCTGACCCTCTTTAATCAATTCCGCCTTCAGTGTAAATATATATTTGATATCATTATTTATAATACAATATGAATCGATCCAATTAGAACATATATATTTTTAAAGAAACGTTTCCATCTCTATTTTTCACCCCTTGAAGCTTTCACTTACAGCTTATATCTGATGAGTGCACTTAAGAGAATTACATAAATAATTTATTAACACTTGTAATATGGAAGTGTATATTTGATCGAATATAGTTTACATAGTTAAGAAAGGTATGAATAGTTTTTGTGGGCGGCACAATGTTGCCAAGGGGCGTACGCCCCTGGTTAGGTTAATTAATCTAGATAAATGCAAGATAGTTCTCCAAGAAGGTTGTCCTTTTCCAGAAAGAAGAAGCTTAAATCCGGATACATAGCAAATTTTATTAGAAACTAAAAAAAATTTATTATATACATTAAGATATTTAGTTTTCTTTTATTTAACATATTGCAAAGATAAAAATGGTTAACATTAATTTAAATCACAATATTACGAAACTCAATTCAAATCTAACATTAAGATATTTAGTTTTATTTTATTTAACATATTGGAAAGATAAAATGATTAACATTAATTTAAATCATAATATTACGAAACTCAGTACAAATCTAACTTTAAGAAAAATACAAATTTTGTTTCTCATTTTTATTAATTTTTTACCTCATAAAAAAATGTTAATTTTCTTTTTGCAGTTGTTAAGGTAAGGAAAAGTTTTGAATAAAGGGACTGTAAGCGTAATTTCAAGTGACCCTCCACGCAAAGATGCTTAGAAACAACAAACACACAAGATAAATGATCTGATTTGAACCCATTTCTAGTGAGAAAACGACGTTATCTTCAACATTTTTTATCAGATAAAGGTTTCAAGGGGACCGTTGTAAATCGGACATTTTTTCATGGAGGGTCACTTGAAATTACGCTTACAGTCCCTTTTACAAGATAATGTGGAAAACTACTCTATTCTAAAAACTAAGAAAAAAAACATTTAGATTAAGAGCTGTGTCTCCTTATTTTCGGTTTGTTTAAAAAATCAAGGCTTTTAAGGCGGCGCTACGACATCTGCTCTATTTCCATTTGCTCTATGGCCATTTGCTCTAGTTCCATTTGCTCTATAGCTCATAGATCACGACGTTTGCTCTATATGTCATCTGCTCTATACGTCAATTGATCTATAACACGTCATTTGCTCTATAAACATTTTTATGACTGTGATGGTCCAATTGCTCTACTCAATATTTTCTCTATGAGTAATCACGTCATTTGCTCAATAAACATATTCTACAAATATCTAATCATATTAAAACTGTATTTTTACAATTTTACATTTTACAATTCTTCCAACAGTTTTATTATTCCGCCAACTTCCTGGAGATAGTTTTGTTTAGAGAAGAATAAATATAGTTTTCACCACATATTTGGTTTGTTTTACCCCTCTTATTATTGAGCAGTCTCTCTGTCATGATGAACTTTGAAGAACTGATTAAAACTGCAATTTGCGAATTTTCCAAAACAAATTCCCGCATTTCGTAGTGAAGTTACGCTCAGGAATCCCAATAAAGCTATTTTATTGTGTATTTTTAGGTTAAAGAGCAAATGACGTGTTCAGTCATAGAGCAAATGAGGTATAGAGCAGATTGAATATAGAGCAAATGACGTATAGAGCAAATGGAAATAGAGCAGATGTCGTAGTGCCTTTTAAGGCTTTTGCGTTTTGAAAAGTTGTTCATAATACTTCAAAATTTGTATGCTGAAATAAATTTGTTTTTACTATAACAAATAGGATACTTTGTAGTCAGGACAACACATAGACAAATAAATTTAAAGATAGGATTTTCATCGATAAGATATTTCATTGATATGATATTTCATAGACAGAAAAGAATTTTCAAAGACAATCAAAGATTTTTGGTTTAACGATAAATGTGACACAATTTTAAAAATTTTAAAATACATATATATTTGAAACAATATTTTCTCTGAAATGGACCAACATCCTCTTGTACATTCTTTAGAGCTCAAAGAGTACAAACAGCTGCACAGTACATTCTTTAAAGTTCAAAGAGTACAAACAGTTGCACAGTACATTCTTTGGAGTTCAAAGAGTACACAATAATCTAAGTTATATAGCCGGGAGGGTAAACCAGTCTATCCATGTTAGTGTATCTATAATGATAAATTATATTATTATTATGTAATCGGACTATCTTAAAGTAAAATAAATTTGAGTAAAAGATTTTTTAACAAAATAGACTACAAAAAGTCTTTCATATCTAGTGTAGTAAATAGTAGTAAATAGTAATAGTAAGTAGACATTCAAAATTAATCATGTTTTTAGAACACCCTGTATTTTGATATTGTATAAATATTTTACCTGTACAAGCGTTCCATTGAATTTTCATCTCTCCAGACCCCGGACACCCTGTACAATTTTTAAGGTTAAATGTTATAACATCTTCTATATATTTAAATTAGTCATACCTTTTTGTCTGTTCGTTTGTGTGTCAGATCATTATTCCTAAACCCCTGGACCGATTTGCCTACCACTTTAGTTTGGGAACACGGGAGAACCCCGGGAATTTTCTTAGCTTGAATTTGAGATTCTAAATTTAGTGGATCGGCTTTTAATGGGAAAATAGCTTAAATCCAAATGTAAGACCTAGCGCCGGTAAACGGCGGGAGTAACTATGAGTAACAGCTGGGTAACGCTGGATTCCCAAACTAGTATATAATTATAATACTGGAACAGCAGATTGGGTACTTTTTTACGTTCCTGGAACTTTATAGTGCGACATATTAACATATATTAACGTTTCTTAGAAGTTAGAATGAATGTCATTCACTTCTTGTAATTCAAAAAATTTTATACTCATAATAGTTACTCATAATAGTTACTCATAATAGTTACTCATAATAGTTACTCATAATAGTTACTCATAATAGTTACTCATAATAGTTACTCATAATAGTTACTCATAATAGTTACTCATAATAGTTACTCATAATAGTTACTCATAATAGTTACTCATAATAGTTACTCATAAAAGTAACTCATAATTTCCCTTTTTTAGCTAATTAAACACTTTAGAGGAAATTTAAAATAGCAATTTCGTAGCAATTAATTTTGTTGAAAACGGTCCTAAATTTTATCAAATAAACCAAATAAAACAACAAAAACATGTGAGATGTCTTGATGTATAAGGGCATCATAAGAACCAAAACATATCAAGAACAGCATTTTTAAAAATTATCTATGACACGCAGGGAAAGTTATCTATATATGCTTTGCTTTTCTGTCTGTCCCGGGTGTCTGTCTGTTTGTTTGTGTCCAATAAACGACGGAACCGCTAGTGGCACATACAGTGACATAACCCTTGGGATGGTTTATAGAATTTATAGAGTTATAGAGTTTATAGAAAAGTCGCCCATTTTTTTTTTTCAAAAATACACCACTTTCATCAGAAATATCCATGAAAATTCGGTTATTATTTAGAACGAAGATAAAAAGGTGATCTGAAGAGCAACACTTTTACAAGAAAGGGGGGGGGGGCGCAAAACACCATAAACGGTTAGTTTCCTATATAAATGTAAGAATAAATGCTTACAAACCTTCGGCTAGGATGGTAGGCAGGTTTCAGAGGCAAAGGCATACTCACACTACGGTTTAAAATTCATGATAACAATCCATGAAGATAAAAGATTATTTGAATGAAAATTAAATCTGATTAAAGGTACAGCTACATTGTAATTTTTGAATTGGTTTATCTTTCAACATGTTAAAAATTAAGTTATTTTGTAAACACAAACATTGCAATTTAAACAAAAATAAGAATCATGAGTTTTTCCTAAGAGGGTCTTCTGTGTATAGTGCTGGTACACTAATGCTCTGATTATCATGAGATCCCAGTCCTGATACTCCAGGTGTACCTGATGCTCCTGATGCTTCAGATTCTAATCCCTTTGCTCCAGGAGGAAGCAGTTGGCCAATAGTACTGCTTGAGTGGTCTAAAGAGAACCTCCTTTGGGATACACTGGACGCTTTAGAAATGACCCTTCTTGTTGATGCTGTTCTGTTCAAAAGCGGATCTGGAATGACGAAAATGTTTTGTTCTAGACCAGAGCTGTGACTCCAGCTGGTAATGGGCCTACTGGGTGAGGAGTTCCTGGAGTTCATGTTCACATGTACAGAAATCCGGTTGGGGTCACTGTGTACATTTGAAACTGGTTCTGGGTCAGGAACATCAATGCAGGTCTCCTGGATTTGGTTTGGTAAATTCAACGGTTCATACATAAAGTTATGCACTGCACTATGGTCTGAGGATTCTCCATCTGTGACTGGCTCCATTTGACTCTCTGAAGAAGGGTCTGAAGGATCAGAGTCTAAGCTGGATAACCTTGGACTAGATCCACTAGCTCCAGGTGAAAGGTCTACAGCAGAACTTGAAGGGTTTAAAGACAGATTCTCAAATGCAGGTGTTGCTGGATCAAACAGTTGAATTTTCAGCTTATTATGAGTCCTTAACAATAAATGTTATTCAGATTAAACGTCCATATTGAAAGATGTTTTCCATCGCTAATTTTTCTATTCGATAATTCATTCATACAGCTAATTAAATCCGTTAAAAACATTTTTATTTGACATATTTAACAATAGTTATATGAAAAGTAAATCAGCTACACGGAAAAACACATTAATTCAAAAATGAGACAATTAACAGACAATTTTGTCAATAATTTATATCCCAGCTTAAACTAAAATATGTATTTTTTATCAAAGACCAAAATTTTCATTTGTTTGTAGTAGGATTGGACACAGAGCTTTTGTAAACAAAAAATAGTTTTGCTAACAATTGTAAAAAGAACCATTCATTCACTTAGTTGATACCTTGAGTTTGTATTGCGCGTGATATAAACTCTAGCAGGTTCATCATCAGATAGTATTTTCTCATCAGATTTATCCTACAATATAAATTCAACGGTTTATCATCAGATAGTATTTTCTCATCAGATTTATCCTACAAAAGAAAAAAAGGGCGTATGAATCATAAAGTAATTAACAATAGGACACTAGATGTTGTCTTTTCAAGATTTAGGGGTTTTTCGTTCACAATAACCAAGAGGCAGAAGCCCAAAGGAGTTCCGCACAGGCAGCGTTAAAAGACATGAGAGAGAGCATGCCAAGCTTGTGCAGAACTGCTTTGTGATTCTACCTTAGGTTTATTTTGAACAAAAAACCCTAAATCTTAAAAAAATCTGTTATTGTTAATTAATCAATTACATCTAGGCAGTGCCACATATTCAATTTGCAAACATATCTATGATTAACTGCCAGCTTTAGTTTATAGACACAACAAACTTAAAATAACTGATCAAATTTCTGTCAATTTAATATTTCGGTTGTTTACCTTATTTAGTTCCAACTCCAGTGCCATTAAATCCCCGGCATTTAATATTTCCGTCATCACTCTCTACAAACAACAAAATATCTTTATGATAAAAAATAAAATAAATATGTTATGCTAATTTAGTCATATTTAATGAATTAAGGATATTTCAACCACACACTTTTCTAAAATTGTTGCCTAAATTCATGAGATTCCAGTTCCGCAATATTGATTTGACAAATGTAGACAAGGTACCGTTGTGAATCTGATTTGATAAATGTAGACAGGGTACCGTTGTGAATCTGCTTTGACAAATGTAGACAAGGTACCGCTGTGAATCTGATTTGATAAATGTAGACAGGGTACCGTTGTGAATCTGATTTGATAAATGTTGACAGGGTACCGTTGTGAATCTGATTTGATAAATGTAGACAGGGTACCGCTGTGAATCTGATTTGATAAATGTAGAAAGGGTACCGTTGTGAATCTGATTTGATAAATGTAGACAAGGTACCGTTGTGAATCTGATTTGATAAATGTAGACAGGGTACCGTTGTGAATCTGATTTGATAAATGTAGACAGGGTACCGTTGTGAATCAGGCATTTTCCTCTTTATCTAGAGGTCACTCGAAAGTAGAGTTTCTTCTTAATTTTTTAATATTTTGTTGCCTTTTGTTTTGGAGATGATTGATTTTTCTTTTTCTTCTCTTTTTCTTGTTTATTTGTATTGGTATAAACCACTTTAGGTTGAATGATTCCACCACTTTCTCTGAAAAATACATATAAAGGGAGTGTTCGCGAAAAAAGGAAGGCATTCCTTTTTATTTCATATCCAAGTGATGTTTCTGTTTAGAAAATTTATTGCACTGGCCGAGCGAGGGAAGGCAGGCGGCCATGAGCCACCACTATTTCCCCTTCCGTGCCACACATTAGCGTTTTTTCTCTTCCGGCAGCCATGAGCCACCACTATTTCCCCTTCCATACCGTAAATGGTATATTTAGGGCCTTTAAAGTGTGATTTTTAAAAATCCAGCCACGTCACGCAAAAAAGCACAACTCAAACCACTTTTTTAATTCTACTTAAGATTGATATTTTGTGTGTTGAATTCTTAAACTGTTTTACAATGAAATTTTTGACAAATTTGATTGAGTATTGCATCTTGAAATATCACAAAGTCTAATGATTATTCAATTTTTGACTCACTGACTCACTGACTCACTGACTGACTGACTGACTGACTGACTGACTG